CACCTGTCCATAGCAGATACGTTGAAGGCACACACTTTCCAGACTGGAGGAGAGGTCCAATCCATGAACACCCATTTGAGTTCTTGCAACTCCAGGGCTGCTATTAAGGATACCCTCAATGTAACCACTAAGACTTCTGAATCAAAAACTGTATCTGAGGAACAGTTGATTTATTTGTGTTCCTGGAGTATACTGGGGGAGGGATTTTTAGGCGGTGCCAATAGATGTGCTCAGAGATGTCACACAGGATGTAGGTGGTCAGTGATGCATGGGTTTCCACCTGGGACGATGGAAGTCCAAGGAAAAAAAACATGGTGGATGTTCTGTGAACTCATTGCATTTGGGGGGGGGGGTGTGGCGGTGGAGAGCAATCCTGTGGCTCACTATTCCTCTCAGCAGAGCAAACCTGTCTATCGTGCCCATCCACACATCGTGAATTTAGTCCGGGTTTGACTAGACTGGGTCTGCCCTGCTTGGCAAACTTCTCCACTCTTCTAAGGGAAGATATAATTGTAGCAGGGGGAAACTCTGTGATTCTCTCTAGACTTGGAAAAACACAATGAAAAGGGAGTATTTTGGTCAGAGTTGCCTTAGGAAAAATTATTACAGGGAATTCATGGAAAAACATTGCTTTCCAATTTCAGAACTACTCAAAATATTGGGTAGCTAAATATAAAACACTGTTCACAGTCCTACGGATCGTGGGGCCGGGCTAAAAGTGATGCGTGCTCTCTCTCCCTTTTTTCTCTTCTCTTTCTTTTTAATTTCTCTTCTCCAGTCAGCCTTATAAGCTTAACCAAAGATAATTATCAAACAAGAATCTTAATTGCTCTCCTAGCACAAGTTCTTTCTTAATTTGAAAAACATGCTTGGTGTTAATGAAATTTCCCTCTGAAAAATAATAGCTGAAATGAAAAAAGGAATGTTTCATGGCCTGCAAGAGCTCGCAAATGCATCTTTCAGGAAATGTTTTATAAAGTTTGTGAAAATCAAAGGAACACTTCAATCACCCGATGTTCTTGGCATGAATTAGAGAGTAAATCACTCCAAGGATTTTGTGTGTTGGGCTGGAGGACCTCCCTTTTTGTGCCCCCAAAGAAGAGCTAATCAACAGAAGGCAACTGAGATTGTAAAATAAAATTTCTCAACTGTGAGAGGTGTGAAGCTTGACTTCTAGGTAGAATTAGTGAAATGTAGTCTTTGGTGATGGAACTTTTCCTTAGTATTTTAACCTTTTCTCCCTAAAGCAATGAACAACAATAAAAATTTCAAGAAAAGGAAAAGTGGGGAGGGATGCCTGTAATTGTCCAATCTTTCTCTTCCTGCCTCTCTTGTGTTACCCAGATATGTAGTTGATTCTCCATATCAAGGCGATTATTATTCTATAAAGTCACTGAAAGCACTGAATTAGCAAATGGGGAGCCATTGCTCCCAGGAGAAATGAGAGGGGCGTTCCTGCAGGCCTTTGGTCATCATGTTTTCATCAACAGATCAATACAGAAGCTGGTTTTAAGTGTCTTTCTGTTTAAAGACACCTTATTGGATACATGTTACTGGTTCATTAACCCTGAACTCAAAGCCAAAGCACTGTAATTCACAACTGAATGAAACGTCTTTAATACATATTTGGAAAGAAAATTCCAGAATGCTCTCACCAAGGTTTTATGAAATATGCTGCCACTTGGCTGCTTGGATTCCAAGAAATCTATAGCTCTTTGTAGGCTGGTCAAGGCCTTAGGTTGATCTTGTCTCATACAGATGCTTTTATTTGGAAATTCTTTAGAGCTCAGAGGTTGATGAGGATCCTGCTTTCTGGAAATTATTTGGACTCAGTTAGGCCTAGAACTTAGATTATTTTCCTTTGAGAAAGATATACAAAAATAGGAATTTCCCCTTCATTCTTCGGCATGAAGAATTGAGAGGTATTGATGTAGGTTGCTAAACTTCCCAGTTTACGCCCCCTGGAATGTTCCGATTTAGCCTATACTGGTACTTTAAGAGGCTAGAAATCTGAAGATGGAAAATTCAGGAAAAACTCTTCTCTCTTTTTGACTAAGTTCACTTCTGCTTTCTTCCTCCCACCCCAATTATAATTTCCATGAACAGTTTTCCTCCTCTTCACTCAAAAGGGAACTGCATTTGGCCTTCTGGACAGTGACTCAAAATGAAAGAAAATAAAGTCGTGTAGCCGACTTTATGTAATCAAGCATAAGGTCTTTTCAGGTGAATTTATCTTACCTGAAATGGATTTCTAAGGTAAGCAAGCCTGGAAGACGTAGGATGGTCTGGCTGGTATAGTTTACTGGACGTCTGTGTTCTATTTTCCTCACCAGCACAGCGAGGCTGATGATCACTCTTCTCCCCAATTTATCGGGAAGATTCTACATTCAAGCATGCTATCTTTAAGAGGCTATCAGCCACCACAGGGGCCACATGGCTTCTTTACCGAGAAAACATTATTGATGCCCTGAGGTGCTGGAAGGACAGCTTGCACTGAATTGATTTGTAACAGGTTACCTCAGACCTCATGAGTTTTTGGCGACAAATACTTTCCCATCAATCCCTGATTCAGTTTCCCCTGGTTTGCCCAAGGCAGACTCCTTGGTCCCCTTTCAATGGTTTGCCTAGTTGTTACAGGAAGCCTGTTTTGTGAAGTAGCTGATAGTCGTCATACATTTTTTTTTCAATCTGGGCCCTTTCACTGATCTCTACTGCTTCTGAAGTCACTTAGTGTTTGCATCGAAACACCCAGAACACCTGTTGTGCTCCATGTAGAATGGCAGGGGTTCCTTCCTCTCCTTGGTCTCCTGGGCTTTGGAGGAGATTTACCACCTCTCATATGTACCTTTCCCCCTGTTCTAGCTGTAAAGTTAACACAGGTAAGATAATTTCCCTCCTCTACTCTCAACAGCTGTCCAAGGAAGAAGGCTTCAGGGAATCTGTCTCCCATGTTCTGAGACACTAGGTATCAGTGTCATTTGAAATGGCTCACCAGTACCTATGAAGCATTAGAAGCAGGGTTATCATACGTGGGTATTCAATGCCTTACAAAAGTCACCCCACCAAAAAAAGTTCAGGAATATATCTGTCGTGAATACAGTGTTTACACGTAAGAGCATAATGAGTTTCTAGTCAGTCACATTAACAAACTTGAAACCTAGACACTAAGGAAAGGAAGACTTTGTGAAATAAAAGTAGAAAAATGAAAGTTTGATTTCTATACAGATGTTCCTGTGTCATTTGTGGTTCCTATAGGCTTACGTAAGTCAGAGGGTGCAGAGCAGAGACGTTTTGATGAAAGGAAGGAAATGTTAAGCTTGTCTCTCAGGTCGTGCCGAAGCCCCAGTGTGCTGGCCCTGGTCAGGGTGACGGTTCCATCCGGCCGCAGCAGACTGAGTGGCAGAAGTTATCCCATTTATTAGCCAACGTTTGCCTTGCTTCTCAGCCAACTGTGAGAACTGGACTAGATACGCAGAGAAACTAAGTCCAAAGGGTGTGAGCGCTCTTACCGTGGGTTCTCAACGTAACTTTGTAGGAGAGGATGTGTTCAAATGAAGACAAGCAAGAAGTAAAATCAAATGGGAATGTTCAATCTCATGGCTTTTCAGACCAGGGCTCCTCAAACTAACACACACAAACGCACGTCACCAAGGATCCTGGTAAAACGCTGGTGTTAGTGGATCTGGGGTGGCCCTGAGATTCAGGGAGCTGCCAGGTGATGTGGATGCTGCCATCAGAGGACCACACCTGCAGTAACCTGGAACTATGAGATGTTTCTCTTCTCTTCCCCTTTTTTGCTTTCTTTATATGGCTACGGAGCCAACCACCGGGACCTTGGAGATTAAAGATGAGGGGGGCGCCTGGGTGGCGCAGTCGGTTAAGCGTCCGACTTCAGCCAGGTCACGATCTCGCGGTCCGTGAGTTCGAGCCCCGCGTCAGGCTCTGGGCTGATGGCTCAGAGCCTGGAGCCTGTTTCCGATTCTGTGTCTCCCTCTCTCTCTGCCCCTCCCCCGTTCATGCTCTGTCTCTCTCTGTCCCAAAAATAAAAAAAAAAACAAAACAAAAAAAACAAACAAAAAACGTTGAAAAAAAAAAAAGAAAAAAAAAATAAAGATGAGGATAAGAGAAATGTAGCTAACATTTGCTATTAGTTATTGGCCATTTGGATAAAAACAACGAGTCCTAGTCTGTTTGGGCTGCCATACCACAGAGAGGCGCCTGGGTGGCTCAGTCTATTAAGCGTCTGACTTCGGCTCAGGTCATGATCTCACGGCCCATGGGTTCAAGCCCCGCATTGGGCTCTGTGCTGATGGCTCAGAGCCTGAAGCCTGCTTCAGATTCTGTGTCTATTCCCTCTCTCTCTGCCCCTCCCCAACTCACACTCTGTCTGTCTTTCTGTCTCTCTGTCTCAAAAATAAACATTAAAAAAAAAAATCTTTAAAAAATAACAATAAGATACCACAGAATAGGTAGTTTATAAAGCACAGAACTTTATCGTTCACAGCTCTGGAGGCCGGAAAGGCCAAGATCAGGGCACCAGCATGGCTGTCTTCTCATCAAGGCCCCTTTCCTGTTCCTGGCTGGCATCTTATTGCAAAGGCCTCACATGGTGGGAGGGACTAGAGATCTCTCCGGGGCCTCTTGTATTAGGCACTAATCCCATCCCAGAGGGCTCCACCCTTATGACCCAAGCACCTTCCAAAGGCCCATCTCCTACTATTGTCACATTTGGAGTTAAGATTTCAACATACGAATTGGGCAGGGAGACATAAAAATTTAGACCATAGGAAAGTGGAAAGAAGGTCCCAGAGCAGTGTTTCTCAAATGTTACAGCACACAGGGATCACCTGGGGATCCTGTTAAAATACAAGATTCTAACTCAGTAGGTAGGAATGGAGCCCCAAATGCTGTGTTTTCTATGAAGGCCCAGGTGACACTAAAATTGCCACCCACGCTGTGAGTAGTGAGGGTCCTAACGGACAACAGGGTTTACGACTCACCCATCCTTTTTCTTTTTGTCGGTCTTCATTGAATTTTCCTGGAGAAGATCGAGGGAAGGGCACAAGGCAGGAATCTAAATTTAGCCAACTGGGATACTTGGTAAGGGTCTACAGGAGAGAAAGGAGAAGAGAAGGAGGTGGAGGGTGAGTGTCAGTTTCAGGAGGTCGTAAGCTGGGCTCCCTTTGATTTAAGCTCTTTCCCACATGGGTTCCTTTGCTGGTTATTTCAGGAGGTTTGTGTCTGTCCTGTGGCCCTAAAGCCCAGAGGCGTCCAGACGGGTCGTCACTCTGCTGTCCATCACAGGCCACTTAGAAGGCTGAAGACAAGTCATTCCAACCCCGGGAATTCCCTTCATGACCAGGACTGCCTCTTCTTCTTCCCACTTTGAATGAATAGAAGTCAGCAGGACTTTCGTCACCTCTCACTTCTGTTCAGTTCAAGTTTCTGTCTGCACATGTGTGCACATATCATTTGGGGGTGAACGGCAAGTCTGGGTTGGATCAGCCACCACTCCAGAGAGACGCTTCATTTCCTAGACTGGCAGTGGCACCCTAGTGCAGTTTTCCATATGTACCTAAGCATTGTTCCCATTAAATTCATCTCCAGTGCATCCTTACCCCACACCGGGTCACCCCCGCCCTGCCATGGCATAGCTCCTGGCTTCAGTCTGGGCTCTGACTGTTGGACACTGACCGTTGAAGACAAACGACATAGATAGAGCCCAGGGTCACGCTCATGAGTGCGCTGTGAGGGTTCGTCCGTTGTTTACTTTCTCAATACATACCCATATACTTCCAGACGATCTTTCATTTCTGTGCTGAACACAGACACACACACACACACACACACACACCGGTTTTCTCTGTTTATTTCTTCTGAAATCATATTGCACAAGCGTGAAAGCTGAAAAACATCCCACTTCCTTACCGGCCACTGGAAACTTTTCTGATGACAGTCCGAAGTAACCACAATAGGCAATGAGTTAACATTTCAGTTGGGAGAATTTCCCCACCCTCCTCTCCTGTCAATGAGGCAGAAAGTTCCCAGCTGATTTCTCCATCTGGCCCTACCATTCCTGGAAACCTGCTTCCAAAGAAGTCAACTGGAAGATGCGAGAGGGGTTTGCCTGGGCCTAGGAGGTGGAGGCAGGGGGTCGACGTGGTCCGGTGGCTCTCTCGTGGAACCACAACTGGGAGCCTGCAGCTTATTTTTGAACATTACCGCTAACTTACTATTGGGACGCAAGCCCCTGAGTTCCCAATGAATCAATGAATAAATAAATGAATGAAATATGCAAGGGTTACCGTTCCTCATTAGAAATATTTTGAGCATACAAATTTCAAGGCTTGGCCTCACACACAAAAATCTCAGCTGACTTTGGACACAAATGTAAACTGCCCTTTCAGTAGGAAGGGGTTTCTGTGAACACATTCGTAGGCACACATGGCGCAGAAAGTAGCCACAGCGAGATCTAACTTCTTAACCGTTGAAGGGCAGACATCTCTCACTACTCTCTACTCTCTCTGGGCCTTGATCCAAGAAGGTGGGCTGCGGGTTAGTTTTTCCAGACTGGGTGGGAAAAGGTCTTAGAATCATAATTTTTTTGTGAGTCAGGTCACCACGCCACATATAATTGTGTGAGGCCAACAGCCCCAGTAAGAGGCAGAACGTACCAGAATCTACAGCACCAACACCGAACCCTTACTGATGCGTCAATGTAGGCTCATCTGTGGCAATAAACATACCCCCCGGTGGGAGATGTTGATAATGGAGGAGGCTGTGCATATGTGGGGGTGTAGAGCACACGGAAAGTATCTGTACCTTCCTACAATTTTGCTGTAAACCTAACACTGCTCTTAAAAAAAAACAGTTCTAAAAGAAGTACACAGAGATCTTTAAAAATCCATCGTCTAATTTGTGCACAAAACGAAGTCAATCCTCATGCCCATACTTGAATTTTGTTCAGAATTTTGGTGAAAGTTACTTGAGCAACTTTTCTGGGTAGGTACTTTGCTAGAAGAAATAATCCGTAGAGGGGCACCTGGGACGCTCAGTCGGTTAAGCATCTGACTTCGGCTCAGGTCATGATCTCGTGATTCGTGAGTTCAAGCCCTACGTTGGGCTCTGTGCTGACAGCTCAGAGCCCGGAACCTGTTTTGGATTCTGCCCCTCCCCTGCTTGTGCTCTGTCTCTCTCTTTCAAAAAATAAACATTAAAAACAATTAAGAAAGGAAATAATCAGAAAAATTAACAAACTGTACACCTTTTTAGTAAAATAATATCTTCTTTTACGTTCAAAGTATTATTCAATGCCATAAAAATTAGGTAACATTACTTAAAAGTTCATAGATCTGGTATTAGGTAATTTCCCTGAAATAACAATAAAGCTTTCCTGGAAGACTTTAAAAAGTTGCCTTTATTTCCTTTACTCTTTTAAATGTAGGAGTTCAGTCACAAGGCTTTATTTCAAGGTCCAAAAGCTATGAGTTTCCTATTGTTACAGATGTTCAACCACCAGCTAGACCGTTAATTCCAAAATGTCACCCTTGAGCTGGCTGCATCAAAATCACTTAGAACATTTTTAAAACTTTAGATTACAGGGCCTTTCCAAATATCCATTAAATTAAATCTCCAGGGGGAACCAAGAATCTGCGTGTATGGTTCCCAAGGCTTTGGGGGCAGGCATACAAGTTTGGGAATCACTGAATTCAGCGGTTCCCGTTTGTTTGTTTGTTAATTCAGACTAGAATAAGAGGACTGACCAAAATTACACCTAATGATTCTTAAGTTCTAAAATTCCGTGGCTTAAAAATAATTGTAAAATAATTCACAATTGGTAGTACAGTCAGTATGCAACTAACACTGATGGCTGGGAATAAACAATCCCAGAGCCGTAGGAATCTGTGTGTTCTCAAGCACAATCCCACCCTCCCAAGGAGAAATAACCACTATCCTCACTCATGTGCTGACCACTTTCTGGCTTTCCTTTAGTTTTACCACTTCCGTATGAATCCCTAAATAAGAGTTTAGTTTTGAATTGTATACAAATTGATTTATAGTATATGATCTCTTGTATATCTCTCTTCTTTTGTTCGAATTATGCTTAGAAGACCCATTGACATTATTGTGTAGCTGGAGTTCAGCCCTTTTCTCTGCTGTATAATATATTATTGTCTAAATTAACCGATTCTATTTTCCATGAACATTTAGATTTTTTTGCCCTAGTTTTGGATATTATTAGCAATACTGTAATAAGTGTTCTTTTAAAAAAAATTAGGTTGATTTATTTTGAGAGAGAGAGAGAAAGCACAACCTGGGAGGAGCAGAGAGAAGAAGAGACAGAATACCAATCGGGCTCCACGTCATCAGTGCAGAACCCGATGTGGGGCTCGAACTCACGAACTGTGAGATCAAGACCTGAGGCAAGATGAAGAGTCGGATGCTTAACCAACCGCACCACCCAGGCATCCCTGTAATTAGTGTTCTTGTCCTTTATCTGGGTGCACATACACAAACATTTCTTTTGAATTCATGCATATACACGTACATGCACATGTGCACACGTGCCCACATATAGGCAGTCTTTGCATTACACAGAACCATGTTAACTAAAACTTGTACGTATCCTGACTATGACTAGGCTTGGCAGGTTTGTGCTGTTACCCATGTTTCCTCAGTTGCCGTGAAACTAGGCAGAGGGAGGACACAGTCTCAATATGCAAAAGTTTCAGTTAACACGATACTGTGCAAAGCCAGGGCAGCCTGTAATATACACATATATCTGGGAGTGGAATTGCTGGATGATAGGAATTTGTATCCTCAGCCTCATCGTAGTGCCGAACTGTTTTCCAAAGAAGTTGTATGAATTTACTTTTTGGTCAGTACTGTAGCAGAGTACCCATTATTCCACATCCTTACACATACTTGGTGTTTCCCAGATTAGCAGTGAAGGTGAGCATCTTGTTCCGTGTTTTTGTTGGCTGTGCGCATTTCTCTTAGATGGAATGTCAGCCTAGCTATTTCTCTATTTTTTTCTGTTAGGTTGTTTTTCTTTTTCTTACGTATTTATAGAAGTTCTTTATATAATCTGTTATGTTTTTTGCAGACATGTTATAAATATGTTTGTCAAGTTTATGATATTATTTGATGAACGAAGTCTTTCAATTTGAAACGGAGCAATGTTTAAACCTTAACAATATTTTCCTTTGTAGTTACGTTTTTGTGACTACTTAAAAAAGACTAGCCCACCCTAGAGTCTAAGAGATGTTTCCTTAAATATTTTCCTAAAATGTTAAGGTTTTGCTTTTGGCATTCAGGCATTTAATTCATCTGGAATTGATTGTTCTTTATAGTTGAGGTAGGAACCTAATTTCCTTTTCTTTTCATCTGCGTGTAGATAATTTTTCCGTATTTATTTGTGAATAGGCCCTCCTCCCCCTAATGATCTGCCATACCACACCCTGTCGTATATCAAAGGTCTGTTAACATCAATGCATCTGTTTCTAGGTTCTCTATTCTGTTCCACTGGTTAATTCGTTTCTTCCTGGACAAGTACTACATTGCCTAATTACTATCACTTTATAATGAGTCTTTCATAATCATTCACTTTAAAAGCATTTTTGTTATCCTTAGTCCTTTGTTCTTTCAGTTACATTTTAACATCCATCTATCAAGTCACATGATATTTTAATCGAAGTTATAAGAAATATACAGATCAGTTTGGGTCAAATAAGTCTCTTTAGAACGATACTAAGTCTTTCTGAGCATGAACATAGTGTTTCTCATCCAGATTTTCCTTAACATCTTTGAGTAAGGGTTATTTTGTCGACAGGCTTACTCATATATTGCTGCATTTATTCTTAGAAACTTTATAGATTTTTCTACTGTAAATGTTACCTAAAATTACATTTTCAAAGTATTTATGCAGAACTGTTGGAAGGGAACCATTCCCTTTAAAATTAGGGAGGAGACAACACTGCTTCCTATCACTGCTGTAGTCAACATTATATTGGAGATCTTAGCTATCACAATGATACAAGAAAAAATATGAAAGACATTAGGTTTGGAGAGAGGGTCATCATTTACAGGTAATGTCATCGTACACATAGAAAACATAAATGTATCTATGGAAAAAGTACTTAGAAATAATCGATGAATCATCACGTTGACCAGATATCAGACCAATATGGAAAAGTCAATTGTACTTTTTAGTTGTACTTAGATCCCATGTGATAAAAGTGTAATATTTAGCAGATGCAGGGAGAAATATGTCATGGTACAATAGCATTCTGTGAAAAAGCATTCTGTTCTGTGGGTGTGGTTTACCATTTAACCCAGCACCACAGAAGCCAGAATTCTTATGTTAATTGCCTACTGGGATTCAAACAAGTTAGTATCTGTCTATACTAGTAGACAGAAGGGATTCTTTCAAACAGGACTTTGTAAAGACAACCAAAAAATTGATTAGGAACGACTGAATCCCCACTATAGAATGAGACTACATGCAAATTACCCATTTAAAATAAGAATAGTCATTATATTAATACAACACACTAGAAGGAACATAAAGTATTATTCTGACTACAAGTTCTAATTCCTTCTGGTGGGATTGGTGACCTATGTAGAGATGGTAGGGGTAAGGGTCTCTGTCTAAATTCCCTTCATTTTGTTCTGTCATCATCCCTAACCTGGGTCCTTTTTTGACCCTTTCCTGGGCGTGTGGGTGCAAAGCTGCACCGAAATGGTCACCCCTTTACGTCAAGCTAGATAAGAAGGATAAGTTTGGTCATTATTGTTTGCATTTTGCGGATTTTTAGCTCTCATTGCTTGAGTTCAGAGCCTTGTCATGCTGCAGCCCAGCTCCATACACTTGTGTGGATTTTAAGAACTTGTCTCTTTCATTTCTGGAAAACAGCAGCTGCTCATTACAAGGGAAGCAGTAAGTCTAATCGTGGAGGACTTCATCCTT